GCAGGGACTTTCACGGAGCTCAGCCTCTCGCTGGGCTATGGACCTGATAAACACAGCTACGAGCCCGAATTTGTCATCTAGACAGAGAGAAGGAGCTGTGGGAGCAGGAAAGGAAACAAATGCTCCCTTGAACGTGTTGCATCATTTAAAATAAAGAGGAAGAAAGTTCACATCAACCTTATTCGTTAAATCCTGGAGCTACAGAAACAGAGCTCTCTCAGAGGCAGCAGCTGACTGGTGCGGCAGCGACGCAGACTGGAGCGCTCAAACCCTCCCAGAGCTGGCACCACCAGCAGCCACTCGCTGCCAGGCAGAGCTTCTCCTGGCCACAGCTCAAACACCATGCCTGGCTGCTTCGCGCAGCTCAGGAAATACAGGCTCCAAATCCTGCTGGCCTCAGTAACTCGCTGCACTTTGATTACGGCTGACCCATTCAAACCAAAACCAAACCAACCCCCCCAAAATCCAGCCACACCATGCATTTTCTCTGCGGTGTGTTCTCCCACTGAGAGGGTAACTGCTCTTCTGACGCTTGGTTTTCCCCCGGTGAACAGGTGTACATATGTGGTGGCTTCAATGGGAACGACTGCTTGATCACAGCTGAAGTGTACAATGCCGCAACAAACCAATGGACCTTCATAGCGCCGATGAGAAGCAGAAGACGTGGAGTAGGTGTGGTTGCCTATGAAAACAAAGTCTACGCGGTAAGGGAGACGCGCTACCTCTGCCGTCACACCACCCCGCGCCTCTAGTACTTCTTCTTGCTCACCTGCATTTCCTAGATTTTCAGGCTGGCCATTGCTTGTGAGGGAGGTTTAGGGAAGAAACTCGGCGCCCGCATGTTTGATACGCCTCCTGAGCATATTACCACCTGCACGCTTTTTGTCAGGAGAAAAGCGTGGACAATTTTTAAGCAGCTGCAGCAAAGAAATTATTTTCTGCTGCGGCTAACAGCATTAGCAGCACGGAACATTGGCTTGGTCCTGTTTTCCTATCCAGGTACTGCCTTTAAACTCTGTAGAAGTCTAAAATCTGGCTAATTTCTAATCTCAAATCTCAAATGTAAAATTTCTTGCACAAAAGCAGTTTTGGAAGCTCCACAAAGAGCAAGGCAGCAGCCTACAATAAGCACGCTCTGGGTTTTGAGCCCACACACTCCCAGCAATGCTCAGACTGAAGTCAGTGAGGCAGAACCAGTCACCATCTCACTTGTGCGTGGAACGATTCGGCTGCCTTAGCGGGTGAGCAAGGGCCTATTTCAACTCCACACCTTTGGCATTCGCAGGTAGGAGGGTTTGACGGAGCCAACTGCCTTCAGACCGTGGAAGCTTACAGCCCCGTTGCCAACGCGTGGCACGCAGTCCCCACCATGTTCAGTCCTCGCATCAACTTTGGCATTGAAGTGGTGGATGATCTGTTATTTGCGGTTGGTGGCTTTAACGGTTCTACGACTACTTCCAACGCCGAGTATTACGATGAAAAAGCCAACAAGTGGTACAACGTTCGAGACATGGACATCGGCCGTAGTGCTCTGAGCTGCTGTGTGGTGCCAGGTCTGTCTAACATCAGGGACTACGTTGCCAGATGAGACTGCTAGGAGCACAACTCTCCAACGGAAGTCAGCTTCACTTCTTTCACAAGGAGCCTGCCTGTACAAACAGCTACACTTTGCTAATAAAGTCCTTTATACAGCAGGTGAATGTAGACACTTCTTCTAAAATCAAAACAATTGATACAGGCCTGTTACAGTTTGGCTGTGGCCGGCAACAAAAGGGCCACGTGGCCGCTCTGCCACCCCTCCCCCCGCTGGGGTGCAGACGAGAATGGAAAGAAAAAGGCAAAAACTGGTGGGGAGTTATAAGGGCAGTTTAACAGAACAGCAAACAAAGGGAAAACAGGAACAACAGCGATACAGCTAAGGGGAATACACAACACGAACAGCAGAACGCAGAGAGCCGCTCTCACCTGCTGCCGCGCACGCTCCCGAGCCGTGACTCCCTTCCCGCCGCCCAGCTCCCCCCAGCCAGAACACAGCATGACGGCATCATCTCACATCTGCTAAACACTGACTTGATGACTTTTACCTCAATTGAGAATTCTTCTCGCTAAGTCAGAAATATCGTGCGGCATAATTTCCCGTTTACCTTGAAAGACAAGAAGTCTTTGACACTTCAGAAGACCTAGTTATTCTAAGTTTTGAGCTTTTGAGTTATTATTTGGTTTTTGATCTGTTTTCTTTTGTTAGTCAGGCATTTTGGTGTATATCTGTGAGAGTGAGCAAAAGAGTTTAGGAGTGCATTAAAACTAACTCAACACTTTATCACCCACGTTTGCTTGAAGCTATTACTGATCTATCATCAGAAACACCAGATGCCTGCCTATACTTCACACTAATGCCTCCTAAATGAAAGGACAGTTTGACATGCAAAACAGCATAGGCAAGCAGTCTAGGAGTAACTACAAAAGTATACTGCATTTAACTTTTTTTTTTCATTTGTTTTCTAAAGAAAAATGTGGCCTTCTGACTTTGATTATTATGCTTCAGTGGAGGGAGAAGTGAAAAGTGCTGCTTCCCGCAACAGTAATCACAACCCCTATTAATGTAAACACCATGGAAGTCTTCAAAACTTCCTATAAGCTACTGTTATTCAAGCAATAATTCAGTGTGCTTAGCTGAACTGGAAGCTCTCTAACACAGGCCATGTGCAAAAGTTAATAAGACAAACAAGTCTTCTGCTTTTTAAAACGTAGAGCCCATGGAGCATAGATACATCCCTGTTCTCTGCCAGAATTTTTATAATTCAATAGCTTTCTACAATAATTTCCACTTAAAATCTTGATAGATGTAAAAAATTATACTTCATAACTATAAAACTACAGTACGCAACATTTAAAAGTTTCCTTTGGGTGTATGCGATAGTCTAGCCCAACGATAAGAGAACTGCTTCAGTGGTACTTTGTGTGCTCCTTAAATGTAGAGGAACGTAAATGGAGGGCAATCTCCTTTGGCCACTCATTTGTCTTAACAATAAATCACAAGCACTGGATTGTCTGAATAAAAAGACTGTATTTGGCTAGCACCAGCAGTATCTCTTCATGCAGACTCTGCACAGAGCTGTCAGTTCATTTCCTTTCAAAAGCTACTGAAGCAGCTCGTCAGCAGGAAGAAGGCCAGGAGAACTCCTAGGGGACACTGCTAAACCTCTTACCATAGTTCTACCTCACAACAGTCAGCTTTGCAACACAGATCTTGTTTTAAAACCACAGTCTTGTCCATGTCATACAAAATGCTAAACTAGAAAATGTCACCATTTGTGTGTCAGATCCTGTGTGTAAATTTTACATTTCCAGTGATACGACTGACACCATCTGGAAAGATGTCATACAACAGCCTGAGCAGAACTGCTGATGGGGTCTCTGAAAACACCACTAGTCTCCACTAGGCAGTAATAAAATTGAGAATTTCAAGATGCTCTGTCTGGTAACATTACGCTTACAGCACTGAGCAAGGAACTTCCTGCACACTTAACAGCAGCCTCAATCACAGCTGCCACTAGTTTAGTATCTGTGTTGCAGTAAGTCCCAGACTTTGATCACAGAGTATTTTCACGAGAGCTACTGAGACCTGAGATTTTGAAGCAAGCTCTCTTTTAAAGTCTTTTTACACTTTCTTTACTATATCATCCCAGTGTTTTTTTTCCTGATGTCCGTCCAGTCACACAAGATATGCAAGTCAGCCCACACATTACCTTCAACAGATTCATATCTGACAGAAAAGGTTTGAAGTAATGAACTAAATCAAACCAACTTTTTTCCTTCTTCAGCTGTGTACTAAGAAAACGCCTAGAAATAGGAGATACAGTCTCAAAAAGATCATACTCTGGTTAAGGCAAAGGACTGGAAGTCAACAACTTTCAGTCTTTTCCCTAGCTCTGTCTCAGATCCTTAATAACCGTGGGATGTTTTCCACATCTGAAAACAACGACAACAAGAACTGTCTCACAGCCTCCAAAAGTACTCCAGAGACTTTATTCTTCAGTGCTGTTAAGAGCGATAAAGTGTTTCTCAGAAGGCAATGAAGTACACAACACTATTCTTTCACGTGGGGTGGGCTGTAAGAACTATGACATCGGGCAGGATGACCACTTGTCCTTCTGTCTTCATGCCTACAAGTATTTGAGGCTGACACCTGGTACCACTTCAGTTTTTGCTTCTCTGAGCAGAAAATGAGAAGGCCCCATCTGGCCTCCATGGGATTTTCTGTATTTTATAGCCGTAATGTGGGGTTGCTGCTACTGGCAAAATCATTTGTCTGTTATTGTTTCCAAACTGTGCAGATGACTTCTAATATACCGTTGCTGGCGTACCTCTACACAGGACAGCATTGTCAATGCTTGCAAGACCGTATTGTGAGAACAAATTTGCAGAGTGTGAAGGTGTATAAATGGATCCACATTTGAGCATGAAACTAGGCAGATGCCACCTATGGAACTGACTGAGCAGCAGATCAGAGTCAGATGATTGGCTGAAAACATCAGCTTCCAGTTCAAAACACTTTCAGACTAAGCAGTTGTAGAGGAAATGATGCCTGCAAACGCTTGAAGATCAAGATTCAGAAGCACGGAATTCTCTGTGTAGGGGCTGAGAGCAGGGGGGAGAGGAAAACCTGTCATTCATTGGTTTTGCATGTTTATAATTGACATGCAAAACTCTTTTCCATTCAGTGTAAGTATTCAAAATGCTCATAGTATAAACATGTCTATGACAGAAATTGTATGTCCTCTTTAGAAATAAGTTCCTTATTAGTTTTTATCAGCAAGAATATGACTGATGTTAGACCACCAGTTTCTACTGAAATGCTGGTCTTCCTGAAGGCTGTTGGATTCAGACCAAAAATTCACTAGAGCTACCGCAGCTTCGTATGTTTAGTGAGGAAACATTTGTTTAATTAATCTTCATACTAAAGCTCACTGTGAATTTTCCAAATGAATGCTTTTACCTAAAACTTATCTGGTATAGAGTCAAAATCAAATGTTTCACAGAATCACAGAATCAC